CCAACTATAGAACATGTACTTTTTAACTGGTTTATTAAAGCCACATTTTGGAATTTGGAAATTATAAAAGGTTCTCTTAATTGCATTGAGAGCTCATTGAGCTTTTTCTTTTTGTGTGTTTACTGCCATTCTGAAACTCCCTCATGCTATTGTGGTCATATCAAGGTAGGAACCGAGGTAACGCATACTATGTTCAGTGATTATTTATGGTAAACTGGTATTTGTTGTCCTGACATCTAGGGCTTTTTTGAATAATCGTTATCATTATATTTACTGACAGGACCCAGTTCTGACAGTACTTGGGACAAATGGATGGACAAAAGGAAGCAAAAACTAAGCTTTTTTAATTCAGTAGGAGACCATGGAACAAGAGACTTCACCTCTCTATATAGGAGGGAGAGGCCAGGAGCAGCACACTGATGCAACTGAAAAGCAAGTTAATATATACATTATACTGTATATCACTGTATATATGTACAATAAATAAAGTCAGACTTAAATCACAGCCCTGATGAAAACCTCTTCTCTGGGTGAAAAAGATGTAACCAACGGTATAGCGATGTTTTAGAAAGATATTTCTGTTAGTTATTATTTATCGCTGCAGGCCCTGCAGACAGCAGGGCAGTGATTTTCCCTATATGTCAATAATATTTACGCAGACATTTTATTGGCAATCAAGGATTTATATTTGGGAAATGACCAAACAGAGCTGGGAAACACTAAGTACACAAAGTTGGTGCCTTTAGACAGACTGAGATAGGCGTGACCTGCTGAAGCCTGTTGGCCAAAAGTGTTGTCTCACAATCTCCAGAGTTCAGAATTAGCTGGGGGGAAACATACTGATTTATAACTGATCAGGAGCTCACTCTCAAACTGTGTTCAGACCTCGTAAGTCTGAATCCAAAGACTGGTTACTGATTTCAATATTAATTATTTGTATTTTTATTTCATCAACTGGACAGTTGGATTTTCAGGAATCATTAAAGGACAATTCCATTTTATTACATCTTGGGTCTTGTTTTTGTAGAGATATGGGAAACAGGACAGTCAGATGATCACACAATAATAACAAGATTTTAATGACATAAAATGAAATCGTGATATATGCAATTTAATATCACGATATTTATCATGATACAGTTCGGTTTCTAACTTCACACCAGCCATCTTTACTTGAGACTGGGTTGTTCTCAGTTCACATAACAAACACACAAAACACCACTGAAACTACACACACACCACACAGACTTACATCTCTGTTGGGCAGCTCCTCAGTATACACACTTGTTGTGAGTACAACAATGGCATGGTTCTCTCTCTGTGAGTCTGTGGCTCTGCGCGTCTCTCTCTCTCTCTCTCTCTCTCTCTCTCTGTCTCTTTACTACGCTGCTCTCAGCCAATCAGGGCTCATCTGAACACACCAGTCAGAGGGAGCGATACAGGTATGGAGGAGAGAGAGACAGACAAACTGGTGTGGTGAGCGAGGCGCTGTCTGACAGGTGTGTTTGGTGTCGACGTCACGCACACACACCTTTTGTCTAACTGACACAGAGGATGGAGGACACGCACACACACACACACACACACACGCACACACACACACACACACACAACTAACTATACAACCAGCTCGCACCTGCCTCAGAAAATCGGTCTCACACCACACAGCACGTTCAAACATCTACCAATGTCAAACACACTTTTATTATACTTGCTCAATAGAGTACTCACACACACCCACACACACACACACACACACACACACACACAGCCATTTGGTTTTATTGTGCAGTAATAACCATCACTTCAATTCAATTAATCTGTGTTAATTGTCCCTAAGAGGGTTTTTATCTTGCAGCTGCAGAAGTGATCCCAGGGAGGTTGAGGAGGAAATGATAAAAGAGAAGAGACACTTTCCTTCAACTCCAAAGACATCAAAACATCCAGTCACAGAGCTAAAAATGATGTTGTGTGCTCCGATAACTACAACCTGAGGCTAAACATTACTGTTTTTGTAGAAACCTGTTCAAACATGGATCAGTTTGGGATGAATTCAGTGTTCTGAATTAGCTTTTCTGATTCTCCATAAACTACCGCAGATGACACTCATGGGTGTTGCAGTTTCTAAAGAGGACACATATTCTGCTCAGAATCACCTTGTACACGTCTTCTTGGATTTAAAATTCAGGTCATCAGAATTATCTCGCCCCTCCTTAACCATTATGAAATAGGCAAGCTCTCTTTTGTGTGTTGGCTGCCGCAGTAAGTGGCCTATCAGAAGCAGAACACTGGCGGCCCTGTACAAAGATCCAGTTTGTGCCTCTCACACATCTGCTGCCTTAACAAGCCTTCACAGTGTCACACTATGTAGCCACATGGCTACGCTTCCTACAGGTGTTGCTCGGTCACACCTCTCACCTCTTCATTTTTTAAATATGCTGGGAGGGAGGGTTCTAGCAGAATATGTTGGTGTAGTTACCCATTAATAAGAATTACACAGAAGTGAAAACAAGGTACAATACATGGGCTTTGTTTTCAGGAAATCAGCAGAAAGAAGAACAGTACGTAGAGCTTTTGACAGTCCTTTGCCTTTCTTTTCCTTTTTTATTTAGATTTTTTTCCTTTCTTTTCCTTTTCAGGCTGCCAGCACTTATGCGAAAATTAGTCCACTAGCAGTGAATGCAAGTATAGAGTTTTACCTGCTGCACAGTTCACTGCACCTCAAACATCCTAGTTTGCCTCAGTACAAGCCCAACCAATATAATCTACTTATTAGCTTGCTAGAATTAAACATTCAAAAAAAAACAGACCTGACAGCAGTTGGTTTCTCACGGTTCCCCATCCTGCAGGAAGCTTATCAGACCAAAACACAGCATTGCTCTCTGCACGTCTGAAGGAAAAATTCTCATGTCTTCCCGTAATGCTAAGTGTGCCTCTACACCTGTCCTTCAGTCTGTGTGTGTTTGTGTCTAAAGTCTAAAGTCCTATTGTGTCATGCCTCTTCAACGTCTTCCGGTAAACAAAAGCTGCAGTAGCAACAGCAGCCTTAAAAGTAGTCACACCCAAACCCCAAACACACACCTGGATTTTTACCAGGCAAGACATCAACCTGAATTCTCAGAGATGCTATGTAATATAAGACACACTCTGGCTGCCATATTGGAGGTCTCTCACTCTTCCACTCAACTGTTGATTGTGTTTCCAAACATCCAGCATGTCCATCTGCACAATACTAAACAGACATGCTTGATTTCTGTTCACTTTTGTCTTGAAACTCAGTCATTTCATCACTGAGCCATCTGACTAATTTAAGAAGTTTGATATGGGATTGTTAGCTAACTACAGTGTAGCTAACCATAGCTATCTAAACTGGCAAAGGGAAGCTAGCAGTAGAGTGTTTAACACTGTGAATACTATCCTACCAGATTTGTAGAAGTTTGATTTTAACTGAAGAGCAATAAGTAAAAGTGAAACTATGGTTAACAACTTAATACATTTAGGCAGGGGAGAACAATAACTGGCTAACAAGTAACAGGGATAGATCGAGCTAACATTATGTAACATTTAAATTCACCAATTATGTACAAAGAGGAATTTGGAGGTTAAAAACTATTTAAAAACATTCTGCAAAACTCTATTTCTAATGACACAATATATTTTGTAGCTCGTGAGCTCACTCACTATACTATACTCACTCACTACTCCGTGTATATAATCTGTAGTTTACTCTATAGTGAACACTACGTAAATTGATTTCCAACACTTACTTAATAATTCCCGCATCATTCACCATTATATGTGGTGCATTGCAGTGTGGGATTGTTAGCAGAAAGTAGTGTTCATGCAACGGACACGACTTAATTTCTGACAGCATAGTAGGGGAATGTGCACACTAAATATGACTGAATAACTACACTGGCCAACAAACTGAACCACTGGTCAGGACCAGCCATACCCCGCGAAACCCGCGAGAATGTCAACTTCACATGTTCTCGTACCAGCAACCAGCATCTTGAGCTATTAAAAGGCAGTGACATTTGTGCTGAAAAGGCCAAAAAAGCAGACAGTTCACTTTGACAAAAAACGTTACTCAATTGATCAACAGATACAGAACATGTTGCTTTAGCTGGCTCTCTGTCTCAGTGTCACTGGTATGTAATGAAAGAAGTGAATTTCGAGGGATATATATATATTTGAGTTCACATTTACTCGCTGATTAACTATATAATGCATGTAACGATCAGTAATGGTAACCGCAGTAATGAATGATTACAGATAACAGGTAAAAATAAAACGGTATTTGACTGCCTGTGCATGTGTGTTTATTCAAGACAACTAGCTCTGATTTGGACTATGAACCAGGATGTACAGCAGAATCCTGATCAGTTATAGATTACACTGGCTGACTGGGAGTAAGCAAGGAAGGAAGGTAGGAGGGAACTTCTTAAACTGTCAGATGTCCTCTTCAAGATCATAAATACCACCCTATTTGAAAACAGTGTAAACCACAACACTTATTTTAATATAATATGTCTTAATTCAACATTAGTATAAAGCTGTTTGAAGACTTAAAAAAACTAGTTGCGACTAATGTTAATAGTATTCCTATTTGATTGACAAAAATACATTTTTATAATTTCAATATTAATTTGAGTGAATTACAGAGAAAACATAATTTACTGGTTTAAAAATTCAATTTTAAGTAAGACATTGTTTCTGACATTTTATGGATATATATTAATCAGTTAAATTTAGGAAATAATTAATGAAATAATTGTTTGTGTATTTTTCCTGCACTGTGGAAATTCTTGTGTGTGTATGTGGGGGTCATCATTTGTCTCTTCTAAACTATAAATTAACCCATCAGCCAGAGATATTTCCCTGTCAACCTCTCTCTCTCTGACACGCACACACACACACAAACACCTCACACACAAAGTGGGGTCCCACTTTTAGGCCCGTGCAGAAGTCTAACACATTCACACACACAGTGTCTGTACCTGCGGACGGTGAGCTGCAGAGTCTTGTATGATCCTTTCACCAGTGCGATGGCCTCCTGTCTGTATCCTGTTAGCTCCACGTTGTTAATGATGATAATCTCATCCCCCACCAGCAGAGGCACCTCCACACTTTCTGCCTTACCGCCCTCCTCTACCTGCACAGACACAAACACAAATACAAGCACCTAAGGTCAGATTTACTTTTAAGAAAATGGCACAGCGCAAATGTGAGCTGTAAAGGTCTGGTGGAGTTTGAGTGTATTTAGACAACAGCTGAATCTGCCACTGTTATTGTAAACTGCATACTGTATGCTAGATTGGAAAGCTTGACAGGGTAGCAACAATAACTAAGAGGAGTGGAGCTTAGCAAGGAGTCAATTGCATGTGTTCGTTTTACTTTGTGCCCGTTCAGTGACATACATTTAATTTAGGTGAAAATCCTAATACACATAGACATCAAGCTCAGTGTAAGTTTAACCAGGAAGACTATCTTCATCTTCATACATTCACAAACTCTCTCCCTCTCTCTTCCTGCCTCTCTAATCGGCTGACTATGGGCGTTCACTCCAGTTTAACAATCAGAGGCGAGTTCAATCTCAAAACGTTTTGAACCACTTTGCAACGGTTTCTGATTGAACGACATGTTTCCTCGAAACAGCGTGCAACGTTCCACAACAGGCTTCAGAGTATGTTTTCTCCCATTTGTGGGCGTGTCTAGGGTGTTACCCAATCAGCAGCGACAAGTATATAAACAAAGCGGTGTGTTCAAGGCACCACCCTTTCCGTTGAAATAAACGTTTTGCTACATTTTGACGTCGCTGAACTTTGCCAAGACCTCCATCAGCCAATCATGCAGTCGTAAACTAAAGAAAATCTGTTCTCCTCTCTGCAGCTGTCAGCTGTCTTTTCAGTATAAAATTGCTGCGGCCCTCCTCCACCCAGTTCACCTCCTGCTCATCAGATCAAGGCCCAGTTCAAAACCAGCAGAAGTCCCCTCCTCATCACATCCAGATCTTCTGCATTTCTTCATCCCTTCATTACCATCAGCCACTATACGACAACGGCTTCACCCCTCCCTTTAATTCCACATCATCACTATGAGGTCTAATCGCCAAAGACTTTTCTCATTTCTCCTATTTCTCATAGAAGTCTCTGCTTATTGAAATGCATAGTCTGTAAGTTTCACTCCTATATTGTTGTCTAATGTGATGATTGCTCAACTGAAACTCCCAGTCTGACACACACGCACACACACAGACATACTGTACATATCAGCATGGCCCCACTGCATTATCAGCACTGCCAATGATGCCTCTTAGCAGTCTGTCAGTGTGTGTGCAGCAGTATCGCAGCGTACGTCTGCGTCTGTCTATTTATTACTGTGTGTGCATGTGTGGGTGCTTCTTTAAAGGTCACATTGTCTTGTGGTCTTGTTCTCTGTGAGATAAGCTCAATCAAATTGTGAGTTGGTCGTCAAAATGTCCCTGCTGTCACCAGTTTAGACTGGATTCCTTTGTTGTCTTTGGTGGATGGATTCAATGTGAAATTAAACTGCTGTGGCTCTCCTTCTCATTAAGTGCACAGTGAAGTAAGACAGTTCAGCTGAGACTTAAAACTAGATGTGCCACAGTACTCCTGACCGTGAGTTGAGTTAACACAGGAGAGACTTTCAGCCATCTTAAAGCTGCGTTTAAGCTGCGTGAGGAAGCTGCGAGCCACAATTTCTGGTTTGTAGGCTGGATTGTTGACCTCTTGAAAGTTGATCACAGTAGCAGTAGTGTCTTCCCCATCTTGAAGCTAGCATGGTAGGCAGCAGGTTAGTACAATAACCGGGGAACACTAGATATTCTTCTTATTTTATTTTAATTGGTCAGCACACAGTAATGTGCAAAACCTGACCAAACAGAATGCAGTATAAAGACTCTGTATCTGGATATCTTACCTGGATCAGGAAAAATACATTTATTGCAGGTGTAAATGAACAATCAGCATGCAATCGGAATTCCAGACCACATCTGGTTCACATTTTGATCAGATTTCAGCCAGGTGTAAATGACAAATATTGCACCGAAGAGGTTAAAATGTCACCTAACTCTCCCAGATGCTGCCAGAGTATCTGAAGCTGCCTATCATGAAGATTACAGCCATGAGTGTACGTTTCAGTGAAGAATGCAGGATTTTCATTCAATAAGGTCTACCTGGATAACTCCATTCAGAGATGCACAGATCATAGGTTACTAACTAACACCAGAAAGTAAGTGCCTTTATTTCATCGTTGTTTTTACATAATTTTCTGACAACAGTTTCCAGCGTGTATGAGAGTAGTGGAATCAAGGGGGATCATTTCTCTGTCCAATTTAGTGCCTACCTCCCTCTCCCCTCCCAAACAAATAAGAGCTGAATCTCACTCAGTTGTCCCCCCAACCATGAGAGGTCCTTGAGCATACAGTGTAAGTAAAAATATATTAGACTGATGTGTCCAGTAGTATTCAAAATTAGCTGTTGACAGACATGCACGCACACACACACACACACACACACACACAAGATTGCATGTCCCGAGTGAATTAATCACCTTTGTACGGTGACATTGGATAAAACACAACAAAATTACACCAGCAAATGTGAGTTCAGTGTAAGGCCTGGGCCACTGACAAATAAAGATGGGTTTTCAAAATGATCTACATTGTTGACGTGTAAATTTGACGTAAAACAATAAAATCATAATAATACCCCTAACCCTAACAAATAAGAGATGTATCTAATTAGACGTAAACCTGTACAGGAAATGGAACATCTTCTAAGAGCTGTGAAAGAAAAACAGTGTGTTAAAATGTAAACCATTCCCCAGCTCTGCAGAGCAGTGCACATGCCTGCACTGTTTGCCTTTTTCAGTAACTCCGTGAGAGAGTGTGTGTCACTGACTTTGGTATTCCAGCTGAAATTCATTACCCTGCAGACAGAGATACCCAAACAGAGTAGCTCATCCTGTTCTTACTGTGACTGAAACAACATACCTCCTCTAATCAATAAGGACTAAGTGATTTGGGATAATATCCTCAGACAGCAGGGGGTGGGTTGGGGGTGTGTATGTGTGTGGGGGTAGGAGTTATGTGCAGTTCAACCAAAGAGTGATTTTCTCACAAAAAAAATGTGTTTGTCATGCCCTTTCTCTATCCCCATGATTGTGGTCACTACACTGTCACTATGTAATAAAGGCAAACATTGAAAAAAGGTGCTGGAGACTAATATATCCTGATGTTTAGTCCCTAATGTGAGTCATATTAAGGTTGAGCTTTAAATATGGTATTCCAGCAAATTCTGTACTCCACTTTAAAAAAGTTAAGGGGCTGACAAGAGACATATTTAAAAAGGCTCAGAAGAACCCAAAGACCTGAGCGGAACCAGAGTCTCAGGCAAATTATTTAATCCAAAGACTCAACTCTGGACCTGGTCTGGGTCACTCAGTTTGAAAAATCATTAATGCTCATCAGGTTTGGATAGGTTTTCCACCTCCACTGTGGTCCTTAATCAAGACTTGAACATGTGTTCATCCGTCATGTTACAGATTGTGTCTGTTCCCTAAAGAAAGTTGCAGTTTGTCCCATGTCAGCACCTGAGCTGTACTCCAAGCAATTCAGGTCAGTTGTACTACCGGCCAGGAGCTTCAAACTTACTGGAAAGACTTTTTCCAGTTAGTCCAGTTGCTGTAGGTCTATAAGGGTTCAGATCGTCATGGAACAGTTTTCAGAAATGTAAATAGAGTTACAGGTTATTTTTAACAAACACTACTACGGTAAGCAGCATAGATCAAACTTGAACCAATGACAGCCATCGTGGGTTACAGCTTTACCATTTATCTTCATATTGAAGGTATAATCCAGTTTGATCCAGTCATAACACCTTCAGATTAAGACTCATTCAAATGGTTTAATAACCTCCTACCATTCCTGTAAAGATTAGGCTATACAAAACGCCTCTTCAAGGCATATCCAAAGTAAACTGAATAGTACTTGAACCATTTGGAGTAAATGCATGGTTTGGAGCTTATCTGAAAGATAACACTCTAGCCAAAAAGTCAGAATGACTGTAAGTGCTACTGGAATTGATTAATATAAATTTTTCATTTCCGCTTGAAAATGTTTGTTAACAAATGTATGCAGACAACTATAGCTGGGACTTACTAGCTAGAAAGCACTGTGGGGCCACGGCATAAACCCTTACCTAGGCCTAGTTTATACCAATACCATGAAAAATTATTATTTTACACTGATATTGTTATTTTCATAATTTTATTGGATGTGCCAGTCATTGGCACTGCTGGTTACATTTAGCTCGGCCTACTCACAAAATAATAGGGGCTGGCCCTTCCTTACAGCTCGGGCTCTCGTTGGCTATTGTAGGCTGTGAAAGGGACATGTGAGCTCCTATTGGGTCGAATTAATTGTCAGTTGAAAGGTCAGAGTTCAGCAGCTAGTTTGAATACAACATATCATAGCTGTTTACATCCAAATCAGGGTTATTACAGTTATAGTGACATACAAGCCACGTCTGCTGGCAAATATGAAACAATGCCACAGCAGTCCCTGGAGATTTATTGATGGACTAAATGTTTTTACTGGATTGGATCGTCTGGACCTTTGACAAGGTAACAAGATTTTTGTTTTTTTTCATTTTTGTTGGAATATAATCGACTTACTATGAGGATCCATAGGTGAGTTGCGTCGATTTTGCTTGTACTGGTTGGTCTGACAGAGGGGCTGATTGTATCTTGAAATGCTTTGCATTGGTCGAATCACAAGGGTTTAAGCTTTCAAACGGTGTATCATATGAGGATGAAGTTAACATAGCAGTTGTGTGCACATACCAAAAACTGCCGCCAGGACCTGATGGCCCGCGGATTGTTGGAATGTTAAGAGGTGATCTGAACTGCCTGAATTACCAGAAACCTTTTCTGTGATAGAAATTTTCTGCACTGATGATAAACAAATCAGTTTTATTCTACAAAAAAAAAAGATCTTGTAAACAAACGGCCTACCACCTATTTTACCATCTTTTCATCAAATTTACATTTACATTTGAAGTGAAGGAGTAGTAAAAGACATTCAGTTGCATTATTATTTATAGGAGAATTTAGATATGTGAGGATGAAAATCTTTTCCTTTATTGCATCTACACTTACTCTGGAATAGGTTTTAACATTACCTAGCTTCTTCTGACATATCAAAGTACACCAGGAAAATCATATTATTTGAATTATTATTACTAAATCGTTACTGTTGGACAGTTCAATCTATAACTCTCATATTATATACATTGATCATATCTTAATTTGAAAAGTAACTAGAGCTGTCAGATAAATGTAATGGAGTAAAAAGTACAATATTTAATTTTGAAATGTTGTGCTCATCTAAAGTACAAGTACCTCTAAATTATGCCAAACTTCAGTAAATGCACTTAGTTATTTTCCATCATTGTATTTAAACCTAGTTAAGGTGATGGTGGGGAATAGGATGGAACAGAAAAGAGGTTTAACCAGCTGAGACACAGCAGAGCACCCGTACTGTCTATTTCACTGCTCAACACATGTTGGAGAGGTTTTTTCTGTTATTCAGTTATCAGTGTAGACGGTGGCCTTCACAAAAATGACCTGAAAGCTAGTGTGGACGCATATCGTTTTGACAATGTTTTCAGATTTAGCTGCTTCAGTATGGACAGAGTGCGAGACAGACAACAAAGGGATATTGTATTAGTTGGGTATGTAAAGACAAACAGACGAAAGAAAGACTCTTACTGAAAGGGAGAGGAAATATCAGAAAGACAGATATCAGGCAGTTGTTGGATCAAACTGTGCTTAAACTGATCAGTATAAAATAAAAGCATGAGTGTGTTCGGTAGCACCCAGGAAAACACATAATTCACATTCTTGTCCTATTTTACAGCCATTTGGCCTCCCTCCCAGAATAAATTCACCACACACACACACACACACACACACACACACACACACACACACACACACACACACACACACACACACAGCCTGCTGATTTGCATTTTAATAAAATGAGGCCACAATGGCTGTAAGGACAGAAAGGGGGTCAATAGTGGTCATTTTCCTTATTACTTATTACAGAACAGGAGCAAATACAATAGATGTGCTGATATCTGGACAGCTGGACTAACTAAGCTAGCATGACAAATGTTAGTTAGTATGGACTATCATACTCACTGTAACAGCCCCTACCCCACATATCAAAGGCCAGGGCTGAGTAATGAATCATTTTTTTATTTAAATTACACTTTGAAAGTGCCAAATTTTAGACTATAACTCACATTATCAATGATGCTTTAACAAGCTAAAAGAGGTTTTTAAGTAACCATTGATTTGGCTGGCTTAAATAAGAAATGGCAATTTGGTCAAATGGTGTTAATTAATGTTGTCAGTGTTGTGTCAACGTCTTGTTGAATAGTGTTTCCCACTGCCTCTCCCTAAATAGGGTTTATGATCTAGGGTCGTAGAGATGGCATGGTTGGGGATAGGGATATGGTTTAGTGCAGGTAAGGGGGAACACATCAAATAGTGCAACACAATACAGGACAGGAATCTGAACAATTTACGCTTTGCTAAAGATGGTTTTGTTGAGGAAAAGAATCACTCATTGTATCATTTTGAAGTGTGGAAAGACAGGAAGTGGACTGTGTCTTTGCGCTGTCCAAAATGAATCTTTGCCTAAACATAAACAATGTAGCACTCGCTGATACAAAAGTCCATAACTTGCTCAAAATCCTTAGTCTATCTCTCAAAAGCAAATCTTTATGTCATTGAACTTGTCAGTGCCATCAGAACGACAAGTCCTTGTGTCTTGTTTATGAACAAGCAAGTCAAAATGTTTAGCCATCTTGTCAATATAACAGTGTACTCTTTAAATATTTTCTGATTCTAAGATTTTGATGACAATGATTGAAAATGCACAAGGCTGCACTTTTTTTTACTTTACTTCATTTTCTCATGATTTCGAGATAACCATAATGGTAATTATAGTGTAATTTGTTGTATCATTTGTTAGCTGACCTGGTAGAGCATAGGCCTTATAGGTTTAAGGTTGTGTGCTCAATTCTCACTGAAGACTAAATTGTTCTTTTTTAAGTTCTTATGAAAAGACTGTTTCACACACTCACATTACTGTAAAGCACGTGCTGGACTCTGTGCGTTCTTGGTCCACATCCATCAACCTATGGACTTGTCATTTCCCCATCATTCCCAGTCAGAGGAAATTCCTTCTCATTCAGGGGAATCCATGTAACGTTACACATTTCCTGACGGCTTTCCGAACCTTTGAAATAGCCATCGGGAAATGTGTGATTGGATTCCCCTCAATCTCTTCATAACAAATTTGCTGAAGATGATAATACACACAAAAGAAGAAAAAGAAAGTCAACAAGAACAGGAATCAAACTAATCAAACTGAGCCCTGTGCTCTACCAACTGAACTAACCAGTGACACTGGTAATTGCTTTGAAATTATCCTAAAGATATGCACCTGCCAGCCCCTTTTTCAGCTATGGTTTGTTATCTCGTGATCACGAGAAAATTAATTATCCCGTTCTCAGGGGAAAACGCTTTACATATATATATATATATATATATATATATATATATATATATATATATATGTATTACTTCTCATTGTGTATTGTTACTGTTTACTGGTATTGAGTATTGGTATGAGTGTTGCTATTGTGATGTTGATGTTGATTTCGTTTAGCTACAGTATATACTTGTAGGCAAAGGATATGATTTTTGAAAACGTGTTCAACCATTTTGCATGTAGTGACTAATGCAATGAACTTATACCTAGATGTTTTGGGGGGTAAGATTATTCAACAGAGACTGGTATAATTCATTGTGATCAGCAGGACATAAGCAATTGCTAACGTAGGAAACAGCAGACAATTGTACATAATCATTTGCAATTTGTTCAAAACAATGAGAAAGTGCTTTTATGATGTGCACAATTGACGAGATGTTGTGGAGGTTGAACAATTAGTTTTGAGAATTTCAATTCTGATCTGAGAAATGCACCAAAGCGACTGAGAAAAACTGTAATATTAAATATAGCCTATGGTAAATTGTACACAAGCAGAAGCCTATAATATATTTGAATACTCTGCAATGAGCTTTCTAAAGTGAAAATAACCCTGATGACATCATCAGGAGAGTACATTTGCATAACAAAAAGCCTGCATTACAGTTGAAGCCTGAAGTTAAAAATAAAAGTGGGAATATACCTGGGAGGGTCAAATTAAATGATTCTATTGGTTACATTATGAGAAATGTAGATTCCACTGTTTTTGGAGCTTGACCCAACTATTGCTTCCTTCTGATGATTCTTTTAATCACTTTTCAATCACAATTTCAGTAGGCTATTGGACTAATGAAATTACTTTGATATTTTTTTTTACAAATGTTCCTGAAAATAAGGACTTTTACAGTAAAGAATAATAATAATATGACATTTAGCTATTTGTTATGGGGTGGTCTATTGAGGTAGCTATACCTTTACCTAAAAATACATTCCACAACAAACATAGTATTCTAGAGTAGGCCTAATCAATAGTATCAGTAATCTAACATAACTCCAATTATTGTATTCTAAATACATCATACTGCCTTTTGGTCCCAGTTGTGTAGGCTATTAGTACCCTAGTTAATGTGTAAGACAGATTGTAAAACGCAGTAAGGAACACAGTAATGGTTCCTGACTACCTTGGAGACGATGAGCGGCTCTCCGTGCTCCAGGCCGCCCTGCAGGGTGAAGCCCCACGGCGCTCCTCCCTGAAGCCGGGCCTCCACCAGCACCCAGCCGCCGCCTCCTCCTCCTCCACCGCCCAACGCCCGCTGGAGCACCGCCCGGCCGCCGCTTTCCATGCCCCGCGAGGGAGTGCTCACTCCGGTCTCCTCTGTCCTCAGCCCGGCTGCGGCCCGGCGGACTGAGGAAGGGGGAACCGGACTGAAGAAAACGATCGCTACTTCACGAGCGCATATCCTTCATTCATTTATAACTCCTCATTAAGAAAAGGGGGGGAAAAGGAAAGCAGGAGGTGTCCGAGCACCGAGCTGCGTTTCCTGCGAAGTGCATTCCTGAAGCGCTGAGAGCGGCTGATCCTCTGACAGACACACTCCACCAACACCCACAAGCTACCCGCTGGAGTCTAGAGGGAAGGTGAAAAAGTTTACTGAGAGGAGAAAGTGGGAAAACTGAAATGAACGAAGGTCAAATCATATCTGCTCAAACACAAATCCAAACACCCCCTCTCTTCCTGTCTCTCTGTCTCTCTCTCTCTGGCTTTCTATCTCTCTTCCGAAAATCAGTTTAGCATCACAATAGGATTTACTGCGACTCACTGAGCGAAAAGAAAAGAGAGAGACAGAGAGAGAGAGAGAGAGAGGTGGAGTGAGACCGAGAGAGAGAGAGGGGGAAAGGAGGGGAGAAGGGTCGGCAAAGAAAAAAAACTTGTAAATGTAACTTCTTTAAAGAAATGAAGGACGCAAATAAGGAAAGAAAGAAGAACAGAGAGAAAGAGAGGTAGGAAAGAGGAAAGAAAAAGAATAGATGGAAGAAAGAAGAAATAAACGTTAGGCCAACTTGAAATATAGGAGGAAATAAAACAGGAAGAAACTATCATAGAAAGAGGGGGGAAATATGAAAGAGAAGACCTGTGAATAACAGAGGGACACAAGACTGAAAGCAGTGTTTCCTGTGTGTTTCCAGTGTGTGCTGATGGCTTGTAATCCAATCCTCTGCAACAGAGCTGAACTCTGCAGCAGCAGGTCTGACACTGTTTCCATTCACACTGGAACCAGATTACTGTGGGGGACCACATTAAACTGCCTGGTGGATCAAATCGTTTACACGGTTCACAATAAATGGCAACCAGAGTTTACATCAGCTGTCTGACGACTGGGTTCATGTGTGGCAGAAAAGGTCTCAACAGCAGCACAAACTTAAGGCCTCAGTATGAACCAGGCTACTTCCTACAAAGTGCGGTCCCAGCCACGTCTAAAGTCAAGTGTTAGCTGTTCTGAAAGTATGTGGAACCTTTCAGACTTACCTGCTGTACCCATGCACTCACTCTTGTCGGATCCCTCCCATAATTATAGGCTATAAATTAAATAAATTGATTGTATGAATGCAATCAGTTTTGTTCTGCTGGCAACCAAAAAGTGTAGCTCCTTCAAATTTCACTACACTTTTGTTTTTCATCTGTTTTTTCTGGCTTTATTGCTGAAACACGTGTTACCTCTGACATGAATACAGTCATTGGAGAATGAAGACGGGGATTTTGGATTAAAGAGCAGCGGACCACCATCCACCCGGTCCAAACAACCGGACCGGTGATCGCTCATGTCGACCAAGCAACGGAATTCAGAGACTGTTGTGCCCACATCGTTACAGAGACCTGCCCCGTCAACATCGAGCACTCGGCAGGTGGTCCATGTTCCAAGCTGTCAGTGCAAGATGAGAGGAGGTGTTTCCCAAATGTCAGACTGTTAATTGTGAAGATGAAACCATATTATCATCTGGTTGCTGTTTACATTCACCCCAGATGCAAATTCATTGGTGTATACGTGTATGTATATAAATAATTGCATATATATTGTTTTGTTATGTTACCATATTTTAATATAGCCCATACTTAAATAAATACCCATACCAAGTTAAATGGTGTGTGTTTCGTTATGCAGCCTTGTGCTGTACAATGAATAATAAACAACCTTGTTCCTTGTATAAACAGGGTCTCCAACCCTTACCTCTTCCCTTTTGCAATTGTAGTCCATGGGAGAGGAGCTCAAGTTGCATGATTGACCAGAGGATTTTGTTATTTGCCTCTTTTGAGACCGCCTCCAAAGATTTTGGCTCAGTTACCCCATCCCTTTTAAACAAAACTGTGTCAACCAGCAGTTTAAGAGTAATGTCATGCTAACAGTATAGCCTCATATTTCAATTTCCTAAATTCGTAAGATTTACACAAAATTGTCTGTGATTGTTCAGACAGAAGAATCAGGACTCCTTGAACATAAAAAATCACTTTGAACGGCAAAAAAATGTTTTTTGATCTTAAATGTGCTTATCACTCATTCCCTGGGCCTCTCTCCATCACAGGGTGAGTAAAACGGATGGCTCTTCAAAAATGTGTGGTCACATGACCAATTTTGATTCTGAAAGTTATCTGTTATCGACTCAGCCCCTCCACCATTCCGATGTTGTAAAGAATATTTCTGATGATTTAAGATCATCCATCAAGCACTTTGAAGCATGTAGGATATAGCATATTCACAGGTGTCATTTAACTGGGGACGCTGGGGCCATGTCCCCCCCCACTTTTTGAAATAGTTGATTTTGTCCCCATCACTTTTTGAAAGCATTTGTGAGAAAATTTTCGGATAACCAAACTTGAGAAAGGTTTATTTGCACTAAACGAAAACATACAATTTAAATATAGAAGAAATAAATGTGCATTACCAAAAAAGAGTAACTTAAGCTTAATAACAAGCTACTAATTATTGCACGATATTCAATTATACTTTAAAATTTAGAATTGTCACCTGCCACCATTAAATAAAGACATTTCCACCAAAACTTGGTGCAGAAACTTTCTCCAGATTTCAGGAAATTAAGTGTTTAATGCTCCAAATTAACGCCCTTGAGCATATTGCAGACTGGCACTGAGTAACGGTAAGGATCTAAGCACAAGGGGAAATTATTTCCTTCAGTTTGCTTCAAAGACGTGTAGTCACTGACTATGTACTGTAGTTTGAAAAAAATTGATGAGTGACTGGTATACTGTTGTTGAATTGTCCTGCCTGACATTAAAACCTTTCAGCCTTCTGAGGAGGAACATGCACAGTTAGGCCTTTTTGTAGACCCCATCTGCATGTTGTGTGAAGGACAGGTGGTAGTCGATCAGATATTTAAAGCTCTCGACCCGCTCCACCACCTGCCCCTCCAGCCTGAGTTGTTCTGAAAGAGGGTTTAGGGTATCAGGTGCCCGACATCTCCCGCAACCCAGCTCTTTGGTCTTATTGATGTTTAGTTCCAGGGAGTCCACATACTGCCTGGAGAGGGAGCGCTCGTCGGTCAAACGGGCCACTAAGGCCATGTCATCAGCATACTTAAAAAGTGTGAGTCCATTGCTATTGCATGTGATGTTTGTGTGTATGGATAAGAGTATGGGTCAAGACACAGCCCTGTGGGACCCCATTATTTAAAACAATGTCGCTGGATCCATTCACTCTGACATGCTGGGGTCTGTCACCGTTAAATGCGCTTCAGTAAATACACTGCTCAAAAAAATAAAGGGAACACTAAAATAACACATCCTAGATCTGAATGCATGAAATAATCTCATTAAATACTCCTTTCTTTACATAGTTGAATGTGCTGACAACAAAGTCACACAAAAATTATCAAAGGAAATCAAATTTATCAACCCATGGAGGTCTGGATTTGGAGTCACACTCAAAATCAAAGTGGAAAACCAAACTACAGGCCGATCCAACTTTGATGTAATGTCCTTAAAACAAGTCAAATTGAGGCTCAGTAGTGTGTGTGGCCTCCCTACAATGCCTGGGCATGCTCCTGATGAGGTGGCGGATGGTCTCCTGAGGGATCTCCTCCCAGACCTGGACTAAAGCATCCGCCAACTCCTGGACAGTCTGTGGCGTTGGTGGACGGAGCGAGACATGATGTCCCAGATGTGCTCAACTGGATTCAGGTCTGGGGAACGGGCGGGCCGGTCCATAGCATCAATGCCTTCCTCTTGCAGGAACTGCTGACACACTCCAGCCACATGAGGTCTGGCATTGTCTTGCATTAGGAGGAACCCAGGGCCGACCGCACCAGCATATGGTCTCACAAGGGGTCTGAGGATCTCATCTCAGTACCTAATGGCAGTCAGGCTACCTCTGGCGAGCACATGGAGGGCTGTGCGGCCCCCCAAAGAAATGCCACCCCACACCATTACTGACCCACCGCCAAACCGGTCATGCTGGAGGATGTTGCAGGCAGCAGAATGTTCTCCACGGCGTCTCCAGACTCTGTCACGTCTGTCACATGTGCTCAGTGTGAACCTGCTTTCATCTGTGAAGAGCACAGGGCGCCAGTGGCGAATTTGCCAATCTTGGTGTTCTCTGGCAAATGCCACACGTGCTGCACGGTGTTGGGCTGTAACCATTTGCACAACAGCATGTGAAATTGATTGTCAATCAGTGTCGCTTGCTAAGTGGACAGTTTGATTTCACAGGAGTGTGATTGACTTGGAGTTACATTGTGTTGTTTAAGTGTTCCCTTTATTTTTTTGAGCAGTGTACATCGGTAAATGCCATATTGTTCTGGTGCTCATTCCCTTCAATAGTACATTCAGTCTATTGCTTTTACGAACTGTTCAGTTCAGTCCAAAACTATGTCCCTATGTACACTGTTTTTGAGAATAACAGCTCAGCAGCCAAGAATTTGCAACAGATTTATGACTTTATGATTATTTCCATGACTTTTGCAGTTTTTCAAATAGGCTTTAAACGGTGCTTGCAGTCAACAGTGAGAGGATCACAGTGTATATCTGATCAGGACTGAGAATGTCTTGGGAGCACCTAGGAACAGCCGGAGGACGGGAAGAAGGATTTCTGGGCCTGCTGCCACCGCTATCCCGATGGTTGACATTTTTGTGAAAAATGCCTGCAAATGGAGGGCAACGGCCGGCCTTAAATGGCAATTTAGGGGCATTGATTGGTACTGATCAAATCTCATGAATATGTACCTACTTAAGAGGCAGGATTCATCAAGTTGAAACAAGCATTTTACGAATTTGTGCAGTTAAAAGAGTGTAAACACTTGCGCAATCAAGCTTCACAAAATAGTATGAGAAGTTTAGGATAAGAATTAGTTAGGGTGAGTTTTAGTAGTTATGTTACATCTGATAATAAAACTCTGAGGTTTGTTTTCGCATTCTGAAGCAGTGAGTGAGTTTACATGTTCACTTGTAACCTGGTTTTAAGCCATATCCTGTTGTTGAACTTATTTGGTGCATGATGTTTACATGGAACATGAGAAACCTGGTCATTCACATCCCTGTATACATGAACAGGTTTCAGACCATCTGTGGGCAGTTGTGTCTTGATTTCTCACTATGTTGTGTAACAGAAATGTGCACAAACCTGGATATGGTGTTTACTTTCCATAGTAACCTGGTTTCAATCAGTGTACTACATGTAGCATATTCAGCTTTCTCAAAACCAGGATATGGGCTTATATATATATTCCACATAGAGATGTAATACTAATATTAATGGCACTGGTAATAATATTAATAAAAATAACAGTAACATTAATAAAATTGTAGCAGCGGTTGTCGAGCAGGTACATGGGGGCAGTGGAAGTGTTGTAGTAGTAGTGATGGAGTTAAGAAAAGTTCTCAGTAGTGACTTCACCAACACTGTTACTGTAATGAATCTGTAATTGGCTGCCAGTCCAGCCAATACAACACACATGGACAAATTATATCTGTCCAATTACACAGTGTGTCCATAAGCACCTTTATTGCCTCACAAAATCATATGACCCCCACTCCAGCACTATGGTCGGTAAAACGGTAAAGACTCTTTTCCTTCTATTCCAAACATTTAATTAATTAGTTTAAGGGGAACACATCCCAGTCTGTTTATAGGTCTTAGGGAGTACTACTCCATATGTGAAAAAGTTGTAGATAGTATTTGCGGTTTCAGAGGTTGCTGTGATATAAGTCCTCAGGTGATGTCACCTGAGTCAGCATCAGTTGGGGCAGAAGACTACAAGTCTGAAAAAAAAAAAAAAAGCCTGATCCTCAACTGAACTGTCCATGGTCGAATTGCATTGTGGGTAATGTAAGTGACATCATCTGATACACCATCTACGTGAAAGTGGAAATAATTCACCATCAATGTTAACTATGACTCACATGACTTGTACATATAAGGGATCCATCGAAATCAGTTGCTTGTTCCAAATTACACTTAGGTTAGGCTTTTGTAAACCTGCAACCGATCCGTTACCTGCAAGTATCTCTGAACAGTTCCAGACTTGACTCATTCATTTAAGACCCATAACCCTTACTAACAGGATCAGATCTTGCTGCTGGCATAGGGGGTATGCAAAAGCTCAGGGCGCCAGGGTGTTTTGTTTTATTTTTCATGCTATGAAATGCGAAAGCAGGTTTCTCAACCTTTAGAAGATCCTGTAATCTTCCTGTAATTTGATACAAGGTTTTCATGCGACAATGAAGTTTAAACTCCCCAATGAAAGCAATCACTCAGCTCCACTGCCAATTTCTACCCAAGTAAAATTCCAGTGAGCTGGGTGTGTTGGCAGTTGGGAATGTGATTTGATGGAATTGTCCTCAAGTAAATGAGCTAACACATGTCAGTGTGGTTTTATAAAGAGAATAAATAGAGAAGTACACTTTCTGGATAAAAAAGGTTCTGTTGACACACAAGACATTTGATTGACTATCAGGTTACTTGAGGTACGGTGACAATTTCTGCCTGAATTCAGGTCAAGATGAATTTTACACTGCAAGGGTTAAAGGTAAACATCAACTATGATATGTTGTGACTGCATCTAATTTACATCGACATAGGACTTAAAAGAGCTTATATTATAGGACTACTCTGTGATAGTCAATGGACCTTGAGTTAAGATTTTGTTTCTTTGGAGGAAATCAATAAATCTGATTGCTATTAAATGCAGTTCTTTGAAGGTCAGTGCTGAGGAGACAGCTGAGTATTTAATAACATGAAAAATAATAATCAAAAAACATGTTACAAAGTGCTTTCATGAGTGCAAAGACAAAAAAGACATTAAATAGAAAACAAGATACACAATAAAAGCAAGAATACACTTGATTAAAATAGGGAATAAAAGAATAAATAAATATCAACCAAAATCAGGAAAGGCTCTCTTATGGAAGTACGTTTTAAGAGTTTTAAGTGTTCACTGACTAAGCTGCCCTGATTTCCTCAGGCAGGCTGTTCCAGAGCCTCGGGGCCCTGACTGCAAACGCTCAGTCCCCTTTAGTTTTTAGTCGAGACTGAAGAACAGATAACAGACCCTGAGGATCTCAAGGATACGTGCTGGTGGGACTAAAAGGGATATTACAGGGCGAGAGGCCATGAAGAGCTTTAAAAGTAAACTTAAAGTTTATTCTAAAACATTCTGGTTCAGCCAGTGTACTGAAGCTAAGGGTGAGCGTAGACTGAAATTAAAAAGGTGGTGAGTAGTATGTGATCAGAGATTGCCATCTAGAGGTATGTATGGGAAGTGCATTCTACTTTTCCTAAAGACTGAGCAAAATAATACTGAAACTGAAAGATACAGTGGGGCCAAAAAGTATTTAGTCAGCCACTGATTGTGCAAGTTCTCCTACTTAGAAAGATGAGAGGTCTGTAATTTTCATCATAGGTACACTTCAACTATGACAGACAAAATGAGAAAAAAAAAATCCAGGAAATCACATTGTAGGATTTTTAAAGAATTTATATATAAATTATGGTGGAAAATAAGTATTTGGTCACCCACAAACAAGCAAGATTTCTGGCTCTCACAGACCTGTAACTTCTTCTTTAAGAAGCTCTTCTGTCCTCCCCTTGTTACCTGTCTTAACGGCACCTGTTTGAACTCGTTATCTGTATAAAAGACACCTGTCCACAGCCTCAAACAGTCAGACTCCAAACTCAACCATGGCCAAGACCAAAGAGTGAAAATTGTAGACCTGCACCAGGCTGGGAAGAGTGAATCTACAATAGGCAAGCAGGTTGGTGTGAAGAAATCAACTGTGGGAGCAAGTGTAATACAAGACCATTGATAATCTCCCTCGATCTGAGGCTCCACGCAAGATCTCATCCCGTGGGGTCAAAATGATCATGAGAACGTTGAGCAAAAATCCCAGAACTACACGGAGGCACCTGATGAATGACCTGCAGAGAGCTGGGACCAAAGTAACAAAGACTACCATCAGTAACACACTACGCTGAGAGGGACTCAAATCCTGCAGCGCCAGGCGTGTCCCCCTGCTTAAGCCAGTACATGTCCAGGCCCGTCTGAAGTCTGCCAGAGAGCGTATGGATGATCCAGAAGAGGATTGGGAGAATATCATGTGGTCAGATGAAACCAAAATAGAACTTTTTGGTAAAAACTCAACGCATCCCAAGAACACCATACCTACTGTGAAGCATGGGGGAGGAAACATGCTTTGGGGCTGTTTTTCTGCAAAGGGGACAGGAAGACTGATCCGTGTTAAGGGAAGAATGAACGGGGCCATGTATCGTGAGATTTTAAGCCAAAACCTCCTTCCATCAGTGAGAGCCTTGAATATGGAACGTGGCTGGGTCTTCCAGCATGACAATGACCCCAAACACACCGCTCGGGCAACGAAGGAGTGGCTCCGTAAAAAGCATTTCAAGGTCCTGGAGTTGCCCAGCCAGTCTCCAGACCTCAACCCCATAGAAAATTTATGGAGGGAGTTGAAAGTCCGTGTTGCCCAGCGACAGCCCCAAAACATCACTGCTCTAGAGGAGATCTGCATGGAGGAATGGGCCAAAATACCAGCTACAGTGTGTGCAAACCTGCTGGAGACTTACAGAAAACCTTTGCCAACAAAGGTTATGTTACAAAGTATTGAGTTTTGTAATTGACCACTTTAACCCTGGTGAAAGCAGTGTTGATTTGTGAAGATACACTCAGGACAAAAATATGATTAGAAGATGTAGGTTTTAGAGGAATTATGGAGAAACAAAACTATATTTAAAAACACTACACAGCATCCTCTGGTCCTTATATTTCTGTATATTTAATTTAATAATATACAGTCCAAAGTTGAAAAGACAAATTACTACACATTTACTGGAAATGCGTTACTGTGTTTCTGATAAGGCACAAGTCCCATTTAAACAAATATGTACAAACACCAAAGAAACAGATACAAGTCATTCTTATATAAAATGTGCAATTCAAAAAAACTTAAAAATCATAGCTGGTGCTAAAAAAAATAATCATTGCTTCAAAAGATCTGACTAAAACCTAATGTTGTTTACCACTGTAAAGGAATATAACTTTTAAACATTTATATCTTTACATGCATAGATATTTTTCCTAAAGACAACTACTTGCAGGTCTAAGAACTTTATATATATTATTTTTACAGCTGAGCAGCAGTTGATGCCAAAAAGTCAAAGTGTAATTAAACCTCAACAAGTTGACAAAGAACAGTTAAATTAACATCTTCAGACTTATTTAAAATAAGTTATAGTTAAATGTTATAATTGCCCACAAACATCACTTGTTGGGTTACAATTATGTGATCTGTTATCAGTTCCTACTTACAGTGCAGGTCTTCCAACTCAACATTTCTAAAATTATTTTACAACATAGATCTTCCACCATAAATGCTAAAACTAAAATAAATTAAAGAGGTATATAACATGTCAGAGACATTTGTTGGAATTTTAGCAATTCAGAAAATCATTTTTTGGCTAAGTTCTAAAACATTTCACAAACATGTTCTGTAAGCATCAAAATTCAGTCTCAAATTCATCACAAAACTGGATGTCTGGCGAAAGATTTGTCCAACTGAGGATAATTTCCCATCGTGAGCTGGACAGAAGTAAAAAGAAACTCCGCCACGCTTTTTTTAAAACAGTGACGCTGTGGTTAAATACCACAGAACAGAAACGCTCCTCATAATATTTAGATTTCTCTGTGATATCTGAGCATTAAGTTGGCAATACAACATAAAAATGTCTAACCCAATCACTTCTCCGACTTCAACATGAGCGGTTTCCTTCCAAAATGCAAATTCATCCCTAAATAGTTCTATATCTATACTCAAAAATGAGTTTATATTAACTGACTTGAAATGGTGTGTAGGTCATTTTGGAATGAATCTCAGTGAGACACAGATGTACGAGCACAGGGAATGAAGCCGAAGTTTATGTTTTGCTCTATCTTTCAGTCTCACGTGACTGTGTTTCTTGAGAAGGCTCTCTGGATGAAGTTTTAGCAACAATTATTCACAATAAATTCTAAAATACTGTAGTGCTTCAAGAATACTCTCTTGAATCTATTGTCTTGTCTCTTTGTTATATTCAGTTGTGGTTTTACCCATGATAGCAATACCCATACAAAGATGTTAGTCAGCCCAACATAGTCCAGAATGACTTTGACCCGCTGGCTTTTCGGCTGCCAGTCCACTTGTAAAAACCCATCGGTTTATGACAGGAGGCCTCTACTATGACTGAGATGCTAACCATATACATGTTAACATTCAAATTTTTGAATTATAGTGTGTAATGTAGCATGCAACTCGCTAATGTTGGTAATCTAACAATTTAAAGTTCTCTGTGAAATCTGATTTAATTTATTGAAATGAAGTTAAAGGGAATTTTACAAATGCTGTCATTGGAAATGTCGAAATGCAGGGATTTACCACTGACCATTTGTTATTTGATGCTATAAAAGGAAGTATGACGTCATGGTTAACAGCTAAGCCCTGCCTGTGCCTGTGAACTGACCCAGTGTATGGGCGGGCCTGGATACCTGCAATATTTTGGTTTCAGAGGAAGTGGATTCTTGTCCATTTTTATATACAGTCATGTGCTGTTAGTATTCCACTGCAAAGCTAAACTGAAAGGCATGTATAATGATAAATAAGCTGAATGTCCAGTTTCTCACAGATGGATGATAACAGATAACACTGACATCGAGTAAACTGAGTGAGATCGCCTAAAATGACATCTTTTTACTTTACTAGTGTGGCTGTATACTAGTATTTATGGTCCATTTATGCATGCACACATGTACATGGGTGACGCACTACACATTCCTGCCAATGATTTCACACTATTCTACTGATCTACAGGTGCTGGTAATGCACCAAGATATGATGCAAGGTGCCAACAAAGGCAGGGAAGAAGAAGAACAATGCAAGATTTTAGATATCTAAATTTGTGGGGATACACCCGCCATGCTTTGGTGAGAAACAATGAATGTAAATATAAGTTTTGTTTGATGTTTAAATGTAAACTCCACAGGGCACTCTTGACTGAAAAGGACATCCCATCACTCCTCCATATACAATTACTGTACATGGCATAATCAAGCCCAGATGATTTGGTGGAAGTATGATCAAGCATACAGTATTACTGTTACAACCACATGACAGCTCCTGAATGTGTGTTTCTACTAAGAGAAGTAATCCAAAGGCACGTAGGTCTACTATATGTGAGATCAAACATTATTTTTGATGGTTTCTGTTTAAATGCTCCATAAAAAATGTTGTCAAACATCTAAAATCTTTAAAAAGGATATATTTTTTTATTTTTATTTTCACACTGACAGCAAAATTATTCTTATCACTCCCATCTAGAATAGATTTAAGGTAGGACAGGCAAATTATTTCAGAAGCATGTCGTTATATTTGTTATATCCCGACAGCAATAAATCAAGTGCTCTGACTCACAATTTTATTTATTTTTTAAATCCGGTATCTGTGGCTGTCGAGGGACTGTAACAAGCATTCGGTCCAAAAGAACTGATTGGCTGGCCAACCTGCCTGTGTACCTACAGTACCTACCTGCCTGTCTCTTGCTACTTCTCCAACATTGCTTTAATATTATGTTATTACTAATATAGGAAAACCAACTGTTCTGCCATAACTTTGGACATAGATAATAATGATCAGGCTGAATTCATTCCGTCATTAATGTAAACTTTTTCATGTTCAGTTCACAGCTGTCAGGCCTAAAACTAGCTTTTAGGCGTAGTACTGCCAGCATCTGGATTGGTGTGGTGCAGTAGGTGAGTTGCAGGATTCATTGAGAACACTGCTTCGAAGCCGTCTTAGGAAAGTGTACATCAAGTGTGGGTTAAGCGTGCTGTGTGTTGGCATTTTTCTGACACGGGACATGCTTGCCTACTGGGAGTGCGTGAAAGTGCACATAGGTGCTGAAACAGACTCGACGTTAGATGTAACAGCAATGCTGCCACGGAGTATGTGTAGAAGGCTTTGTGATAACAGTCTGTCCACTGGGTGGATTGCAGATGTTTTGGAGACAAGGGTATCTGCCTGTTGGAACCTAATACAGGTTTCTAACAAGGTCTAATTTGGAATGAGAGGGCAGCTGGGGAGTAATGTAATCAAGCTCGTTAGGAAGCAATGGTAATAAGAAGAAACTCCAGCGAGACTGACTTAAGTTCCACAAACTGTTAAACACTAAACCTCCTCAGATGCGCTGTGGATCGTTTGAATTATCTTCTTTTTCAGTTTCTTCACTTTGTCCGGCGGCGTCTCGTTCAGACACTCCTCCACGTACTTCAGGAACCCTGAGTGCGGTGACGTTGTCTGACTTTGACAGAACGTTCTCATGAAGTCCAGCACCTCGCTGGTCGTGGGCGGAGGCGGGCGACAGCTCGCCCGCTTGCGTCCTGACGCCTTGCTGTCATTGTGAGAGCAGGATGTGGAGGGGGAGGAGGAGGGGGAGGAGTGCTGGGAGTCCGGGGGAGTAGGCGAGGGAGGGGCTTCGAGGTTCCGTGATGCCAGTTTGGTAGTAGTTTGGTTGGCGCCGTGGTAATGTAGGAGGCCGAACCCCTGCAGTTCGTGGATGCGGGGGTCTTGAGGTTGCTCGTCTTCGTCACAGGAGTCGCAGAGGAACATCAGCTCGCGGTAGTGTTTCCATTTTGGAAGGTAAAAGTCCTCCGAACCACACGTTTTGTTTGAGCTCACTGCCTTGTGTTCACGCTGGAAGATGGTCCGCAGGTTCCTGAACTTTGTCTTTATGTCCTCCACTGGAGAATGAAGAATTACAGAACTTGTTAGCCGCAAAGTGTGGATCATTTTGTTAAAAATCACAATTTGATCGTAAATCCTCAAACTAATCAACTAGATAAGGCTCCACCAGCCTGTAAATGTGTTGTTCTGGTACAGTCTCTCTATGTTTACATCCAAGTTCTCCTGTTGCCAACACTACAACACTAACACCATCATTGTTACCTGTGAATGGGACAGGCTCATTGTCAGAAAGGAGGCTGCTCAGTGTCTCCAGCAGGCTCTGTCTCAACAGCCTGTTCCTGTAGCTTTCCGACTTGTGGTTCCACAAACAGCTGTGCTCTAGAAAAAAAAAAGAAAAACTTTCAATTCCCAGATAAAAACAATAAAATACAGCTATGACCGCATGAATCTTCCTCTCACGTCACTACAGCAACTTTAGAAACCAGTAACCAGATACTTGTCCCATGCTAAACTGGTGTGGGGCCGTAGACACAAAACACCTTAAAGGGGAACTACACATCAAAGTCTGAACGCTACAAGTTGAAAAACCAAAAAATCTGGAGGTGTGGAGTTGGAAGGGAGTGAGCTTCCCAGATCTCTGCGGCCCACTGCTCATCTCTGCTTGAGGCTAGTGGCTCGAGGTTACATTATCCACTACTAGCGTTGCACGCCCAAACCTCGGAGCTCTCAAGTTGTATTGTGATGTAGGTGGCAGGTTTTGAAAAGGAAGAAAAACGTGTGGGATTAAAAAAGCAATGCCTGTGGTTAAGTTGCAGCAATTCTGAGTCTTTAACCTGCTTTAACCTGTCCATCATTAGGGGCGGCTGTGGCTCAGGAGAGCGGGTTGCCTGTTAATCGAAAGATCGGCGGTTCAATCCCCGGCTCCTCCAGGCTGCATGTCGAATTGTCCTTGGGTAAGATACTGAACTCCGAATTGCCCCTGGTGGCTTAATGTGTGTGAATGGTCAATGTGATTTAGTGTAAAAGCGCTTTGAGTGGTTGAAAAGACTAGAAAGGCGCTATACAAATACAGAGCATCATGAGTCCGACAGCGTTATAGGACGGCAATGCTAAATCGCTGGAGCACTTTAAGATAAACGTAGCTTGTAACTGAACAAGTTAGGAGAAGCTCCTAAAAGGGTGTGCTCAAATAGTAATTCACAACAGGACTAAGGGAGATATCAGTCGAGCTGTACACTGCTGTACTGGTCTGTACACACCCAGACAGCCCTTTATTTAAAACAATAAAAATAAAATTCAACAGCAACATAAATTATGCCACCAACCAGAGTAAAACGATATGAGCTGCTGGACTTTGTCCTCGTTCCAGTGGCAGCGGGAGTCAGTGCTCAGTCTGCTGTCTTGCTGAACTGAACCGGACACGGAGACATTTACAGGGGAGGGGTTTGTAAAAGGTTTGGTGTCTGGTAGTGAAGTGGACGGGGAGGCGGGGAGTGTGGGAGCAGGTGTCTGGCTGGCTAGTTTGAGATCATCTTGAGACGCAGAGAGGAAGATTTGGTATGCAGCGCTGGTGCTGGTTTTGGCATCGCTAGAGGGAGCAGAGGGGCTGTTGAACTTGCTGCTGTTGGTGTGGGTGGAGCTGCAGGAGAGGCTGCTCAGGGTGGAAGAGGGTGTTTGGTTTCCATGTTCCAGATCCTTGTCTTCCTGTGGCATCGGTATGTACAGGTCGTCTGGGCTGTCGTCTTCGTCGCATGACTCGCAGAGGAAGAGCAGCTGCTGGTAGTGTTTCCATTTGGACATGTAGAGTTTGTCAGACGCCCTACTTGCCTGGACCGCCTTGTATTCCCGGTTGAAAACGGTCCGAAGGTTCTTGAACTTGCACTTCACGTCTTCAACTGCAAAACAGCAACAAAAGGACTCACTTTTCAAAAAATACTCAATCGGCTATCGTAACTTGTTTCTGAAATGTATGTTTGTTCCTTCTGTCAGATTTTAGTCAGTAGTCATGTGTTGCTGTGTAAAATTAAACTGAGTAAAATATATATTTTCTCTATTAACACTGAATCATATGACAGTGAAAGTGTCTTTTATAGTGACAAACCTAGCAATTATGACCAACTGTTCTGGACTCGTTTATCTCGGAGTTTTGGTTTTACAGCACCTTTAATGAGGTGGAACGTTTAGCAGCTAAAAAGCTGCAGGAGTGTGAGTATTGGACAGATTGTAAAATGTACCTGTTTGCTAACATCGTAACACGTGATTTTGCTTGTATATTTCCCAAGCACTGCCAATATCTTTGATAAAACTGAATGTTTTGATACTATATAGGTCTTTTAGCAACTGTAAAAATGTTAGAGCTTCACTCATTAGAAAGAACTTCCTGATGACGCCATTTTAGATTGAACAAGTGTTGTCGATTCGATCGATGAATAATTCTGCTGCTTTTGAAATGAACTATGCCGGGTTCTTTCTGAGAATGAGATGAAAAGATCATTGTCAATGTGTTATGTACAGAACGGGAGTAAGGAAGTTAGCCTAGCTTAGCATAAATACTGGAAGGGGGCAAAGGAGCCTGGATATGCCAAAAGTTCACAAATACCTACACCTCTAAAAGACACTAATGGACAAGTTTTATCTTGTTTGTTTAATTTTTAAAAAAAACAAGAAGTGGTTCTATGGAGAATGCTGGAAAAGTTTATCCATTTGCCCAGCACTTCTTTGCAGCATCTCCAGCTACTGCGTGGATTGCCACATCCAGTTGGTGAGCACAGGTTCTGGTTTTGGTCTCTGTATGTATGACAAGAATTCAAAAGGCTACATACAGTCACTGGCTGTTCCAACATTAACTTGCCCTAAAACCAAACTTTTATTTTCAGGTGTATGTGCACTAAACTGACGAGAACATGTTAGTATAAGCTTAGTAGGGCTATTTTAAAAGTTTGGACAGAGCCAGGCTAGCAGTTTCCTCCTGCTTTCGGTCTTTCGGCTAAAACACATCCTGACTCCAGTATAAAAGTACACCGAGGAGCTTTCTTGTAAACAAAAAAATGTATGTTCGCCTTCAGTGTTACTCATGGAAATGCAATGCGTTGAGGTCTAACAAAAGTGGTGAATGCATGTCCTTCCTCATGAAACACTTGCCATGCCAGTTTTTCTTAAAGTCTGCAACCTGTATAATTAGCATCCATGTTTACCAGCTAGCAGTCTTCTTCTTTCCTGCCTTTGCTGGTTCATTTCTGTGTATCTTGCCGCATTACTGCCACCTGTAGATCAGTGGACTTGCGTATTGGGTCACCCTCATGCGCACGCTCCACAGAGAACCCCTTCTGTTTTCATTTCACTCAGGAACATAAACGTGGGGGAGTGGACGCTGCCCGGGGGTCACGGGATAGTTTAAGGTATGATAACAGAATATGCAATAAAAATGTTGGTCCAACATAAGTTGCTAACCGTTGGCCAAAAATACCTGAATGTACAAACACTGCTGGTATGTACTTTTGACCTCCAGTGGGAGTTTATCCCCTGACAGCAACTTTATGTTGGCCTGTAGCCATTAAAAGAAGCTGCACCGAGTGATATTTACCTGAGAAAAACACTGAGTGGTCGGACAGCTGGCTCCTCAGCGCCTCCAGCAGCCTCAGTCTGAGCTGACGGTTGTTGTGGTTTTCAGACTTCTTGTTCCACAGACAGTTATGCTCTGTGCACAACAACAACATCACCCGTCAACTACGAAACACTATTAAGTTCCAAACATTAGGTTTTGTCTATGTATATCAATCCTGGGTGCAGAGACTGGGGGGGGGGTGGGCGGCTTGGGTCTTAAGGGACAATAAATTACTAAAGATTTTGTTTATGCCATTCCTATTTATCTTCAGCTCTAAATCAAGTGGGATTTGCTTGCTATTGGGCTACGTTTCCCAGATTTTATCTCTGTAGCACGTGAGTTGGGTCTTCAGTGAGTCTAGTGGTGGTGACTGCTAGGCTTGTAAGTCATTTTGTTGAAACTACCCATCAACACAAAACGTAACCAGACTGTGTTTACTGCCTCAAGAGAAATAACTTAACACCATATTTAGAGGTAGCTAGCTACCAAGTTTAGCTAGCTTGCAAATGTTGACATTGATCATACCTGTAAACATCTTGAGAAATTTCCATGTTTGCGCCCCCCCCCCCCAAGTTGTAATGACACCAGCGTCCTTGATACCAATCCCTCTCAGTAACAACTAGTAATTGTGAATTTGGAATCAGTGGTTTGTTTACCAGAGTAGAAAGCTATGAGTGCACGCTCCCTCTCTTCAGTCCAGTAACATTTAACAATCATGTTGGAGGGGACGCAGGAGGACGAGGTGGAGGTGGACGGCGTGGGTAGGACGGAAATGATCGGTCCCGGGGAGGGGAGAACAGGCTGGCTCTCTTCCTGTGGAACAGTCAGCGGCGAGAGAGGCGGGTCCTCGGAGCTGTCATCCTGGTCCCAGCAGCCCTGCAGGAACATCAGCTGCTGGTAGTGCTTCCACTGCGGCACGAACACGTCGTCCGACCTGCACACCTTGCTTGCCTTTACCATTTTGTACTGTCGCTGAAAGGTGGTACGAAGGTTCTTGAACTTGTTCTTAATGTCTTCCACTGGAAAGAAAACCAGAAGAGTAAAAGACTTGATTTTTGTTTCTCCTGCACAAAATGCAAGTTTGAAAATCAATGGATAAGACCAGAGCCTAACCTGTGAAACGAACAGGTGGGGGGTGAGCTGACAGAAGGATCCTCAGGTGTTCCAAGGTTTTCCATCGCAGCTGTCGGTTCTTGTAGCTCTCCGACTTGTGGTTCCACAGACAACTGTGCTCTGGGAAATGAAAAAAACCTCTGTTTAAAATACTGCTAGAACTAGGCTGAGGATATTTACTTTTCAAATAGGCATTCTCTCTGCTTGACTCTGCTCTATCTGCTGTGGTGGTAGACTTTAATCCGATTACTTAACTGCACCTAGCTTTGTGGTGACCTTATCTGAAACCAGTGCAGGGTTAAGAGAGCTCATTCCTAAGGGTTTCGCTAATCTGTATAAACTGTTGTTTGTTGAGCTGTCAGTGGAATCTAGTGTCGAAGGCCCCATCCACACTACTGCGATTTGGTTTTAAAACTTTTGCTATGATTGCACCTTCCTTCCAGACTAAAACGGCGAAAAACAAAGAGCTAAAACGGAGAAGTTTGAAAACACTGCCTACACTTGTAGGCTACTACTGTGAATGTCGCCGCATTTACTGTGAAACGACTCCGAGTCTGTTTTCCACCGCCACAGTCGCTTTAAACGCATGTGTTACATTCAGTAACAGTCCCAGCTCATTATTGGTCCATGCAAAAAAATATGTGGTGTGGTTCTTCGTCTGCATTACTTTATTCTTTCCCCAAATCTTCTGTAACTACGGAATAGACCATGTGCTTCCTGTTTACACAGGCACGCGCATGCCCAGTGTAAGTGAACGGCCACTAGACGTGCGTTTTCAGTCGTTTTGAAGTAGACAGAGATCAACTCTAAAACACAGCTAAAACGCTGCTGTGGACGGAGACTGTATTTGTTTCAAAACTAGTGTAGATGGGGCCTAATGCACAGCCTGCACCATTAGGTTCATTGTATTACTAATTAGTTATTACTAACAGGGGTGTGGTTAACTTCTGTAGCCACTGAGCATTCAACACTTGTGTTTAAAAGTCACTCCTTGTTTGAAGCGGCAGCCTCTTCATGTGAAGACTCAGGCATATAAAAACAAGAGTCTTTCACAGGAGGACAAGTGACAGGATGGTATATTTTCACTCTTTTTATATACCTGCTTTTTCCTCATCTGATGTGTGTATACTTTACAGTCCTGTACACCACTCTTCTTGTAGATACTTTAGACCAGGCACCTGCTAACGACATCACTGTAATCTCTCTAATCTAATTTGAAATGATACAGATATTTGTTACAAATTTAACTACACAAATACTGATCACTTCTTAAATGGGTATGTGTTTTCCAAAATAATCATCATTTTCAAAAATAAAAAAAATTCGAAATCCCTTGATAATATACCGGCCATTAATAACACATATATTACAAAAGCAAATATTGGTACAATTGTTTGTTGTAATAAGTACAAAAATAGTCCAGAATTTTACACGAACACTATAAATAAATCAATAATTATAACAAATATAAAATCAGCACCGTTTAAAAAAAGATTTCTTAATGTGCTTAAACAGCCCGTGCTTTTACCAGAGCAACTTTCACTTTATGTGGCACTTTACTGTGACAAATATTGCATCTTGCTGTGTTTTTATCTACAGGTAAAAAGTAGTACCACACCACGCAACATTCAGCCGTTCTCTCGCAAGTTTGATGCGGAATTGTGCGACTGATTCACGCAACTTTTCGTTTTGTTTTCTCAATACTTTCTCCATCAGGGGCCTGCACTATGAAGAAAGTTCATAGTGGGATATCTTTTCATTAAATATCTGCTACATTGTTCTTTCTTTGCAAATTGTTGTATTATTTTTCTGTATTCTTTTAATTATTCTTATATAACTTGCTTTATATATTTCTACATTTATTTATGCCAACTGTGTGTTTGTCCACGTGTAGCACCTCATCACCAAAGCAAATTCCTCGTATGTGTAAAACATTACTTGGCAATAAAGCTCCTTCTGATTCATTATCAGGCTTCACTAACCCTAACAATCGTGATCACGCTAAGCAGTCACACAACGCTGGTTATCAGCCCGGTAAGCCAACCAGCAGCTTTCCCAATGCAGCCATGAGCAGGAAAGGGTTTGCAGCCAATGACCAATCAGAAACATCGACAAATCTACTGGCAGCAGAGCGGCATATTTCACAAACGAAGAGCACAAGGTAATATTAGACAAATACGAAGAAGTTAAACACATAATCCTGGCTAAACACTACTGCAGCTGCCACATGCAGGACGGACAGCTGACATAAAAAGCCTGCAGTGTGAAACTGACTTGGGAGCAAACAGAAAAATAAATATATATTTGCCACTTACAAAGTGGTAAGTAGGCTTACTTTCATATCTTCCAAGTACAAATACAAGGCTTTAGTGCTTCAGTAAGTCTCTGTCTGTTGACCCTCTCATGATCTGACACCGAGCTCCACAGCATCCATGAGAATTGATTGGTCAGTAGGTGTTGCTTTTATATGTGCTGATCTGTTTTCTTGCACAAAACATAAGTTACCATGGCGATGTAAGAAGTGAACCAATCTTGTAACACTGAAAACCCAGGGTTAACCCTCAAGTTACTCGTTTGTTTTAAATAAATACTTGGCTGCCTGCTGGATTCTCATGTCACTTAGGTTTCTACAGTTCACAGTGACACAGAATATGTCAGAGCTGTTTATTGACACAGACATTATACAAAATGATGCAGATGCAGCCACACACATTTTGTATTTATATATATATTTTAAGAAATCTATGCCAAATGAGCAGCTTGAAGTATTGATCCGCACATCCCTACTCCTCACACCCAACACCTCCTCACAGGGCACCGGTGGAACTGCCAGCTTCCCACAAGACTGAGTTCAGCAGAAACTCTACACATCTTCCATAGCAGACTGAAAACTCATCTGTTCAGACTGCACCTTGGCCCATTAAAAAAAATCCAAACCTCTCTCTTTCTCAATGTTTCTAAAAGTAGTACTTGGAGCAGTTCAGCATTATTTGATGCACTTGCATGGTTTTTGCAATTTTTGGCTTTTCAACCATTCCACATCGTTGAACTGCACTTATTGTAAGCCGCTTTGGATACATCAGCTCAGTAAATGTAATGTTACATTAGTCATCTGTGGTGTACCTCAGGTGTCGTTATTCGTTGTGATGCTTTCTGGACTATTAAGCTCGGCAAGTTTCACTGAGTTGTGTTAGTCAGGTGATTCTGTGTTTTCTTTAGCATCTCCATGTGTGGAAAATCTGTGGAAGCACCAAGAGGCTTTCAATACTTAAGAGGGTAACTAATAATGGATTAAATAAGCGGTAGCCTTGAGACAAGACTAATGTCCAGTATACTAACGTTAAATTGCTACAAATACGAAGGATAAAGTAGAGTACATTTACAAAGCCAGTGAACATCGTTAATTTCATCCTTTTATATTTAGATCTAACGTTACAGGTGAAACGTTTAACGTTATTGAATCAACATAAATCAAGATGCCGTCTTTGACGTATTTTTAGGAGAACAGCTAACTTGACTTAAGTTGCTAGTCGCCATTGCTGTTGCTAACACTCGTCGGTATCGTCGAGCAACGGTTGCCCACAAATGTTGCAGCTTCCGTCACATACATCGATGTTGTCAACACAGCAAAGTATACGGAATGAAAGGTTGCTTTTGTAAAGTGTTTGACTTACTGGAGAAAAACGCTATGAGCGCCCTCTCTTTCTCCTCCGTCCAGTACCTCTCCGGTGTGAAGCTGAACGGAGACGCCTCCATGTCTGTTGTTGCCGTTCAATCCTTCCTTTACGCGGCTGCTAGGTCACATGACCCAAAATCAAGGCTCTGAATGGACGATTCCTGGACATTCCTTAGAAATAATCCACATTGCCCAGTAGAGGTCGCTGTTGTTTGGTGTTTATCTCCAAATGTTGCCCAAATGTCAAACATGGTGGTATCTCAACCACACACAGAGGGGCTTCTATTCTACATCAACTTTATTGTTTCATTTTAAATCAGTTTGATGCTGTTTGGTTCGTTGATGATTTTGATTAATATTAAGTCCTAATCAGAAAAGTGATTCCATGACAATTGGCAACCTTATCTGCTGAGGAAGTTTATATATGATTGAAAGGTCCAGAACAGCCACTGAGTTGAGATTGTTTGTCAACTGTTGCTGTTTCCAAGGTCAAGCATGAACTTTCATTCTCAAATTTACTTACTAAAATTATCCAAAATCAAATTATACATCATAAAGGAATATTTTTCACTAACAGTAATAGTAAAGGCAATTTAAAGTGAACTTATATCTCAAATTTACACAACTATAACTATTCAGATTTCCTTTAGTAAAACAAAGTAACATTTTTGAAGGAATAAACTAAGGTGTGTACAGTGAATGCACTATGAATATTTTTTTTACCACAGTGGAATTTTGATGTCCGGCACAGAGACCATACAACAAATCTAAAATTGAAGAAATATAGTGACTGCATTTAAATGAGATGAAACAAACACAGTTGAAATAGGATAAAGGGAGAGTTTTAAAGAGCACCCACCATGCAGATGCAAAGTGTTGTTCTGTTTTAATTTCCAATAATCAACAACTGGAGGGTACACTTCCAGACAAGACAACATATAAAGTGTATTTACAGTCAATCCCATGTACATTTCATTTCTTCAAATGTACAGACATCCAATCCATGTACAATATTTACACTGTTGAGTCTGTTTCACTGCAGCTGATCTGACAGGGCCAGTTCAGCTTTCAATGAAATGAGTGTTCACATTCACACTGATTTCCTGGTTCTGTATGAACACGATAAACTAAAGCAAAATGATTGTTGGTATTATGCAACTGTTTAGCTGCACAGAGGGAATTAGAACCCCAACCCAAACTTTGTTAGTGCTGTTGAGCTATACAGGACTGAAAACTGTATTGTCATTATTGTCAACAAGCTAATCCCACATTTCACTTACATTATATATAAAAATTATATAATTCACATATACATTTACATTTTAAGGTCAGAAAGCAAATAACTATGTACACTCTGTGCCAATTATAAACTATTCAGCATTTGTTCCAAAATCTTCTCTAAAGCTCTTGTAAAATCTCTGTCTTATGCTTCAAGTAAAAGTTCATTCACAGCAATATCACTGCTGTCAGGGAAAAACCTCATATCTGCAACATGTTATGAAAATTTAACAAATAACCTTCCTGCTGACCTTTGAGCGTTTTTTAAATTCACAGAGTGAAGGACTGTGGGTTATGAGACCCTTAGCACACGAATGACCAGCTGATCTCACAGTTGAAAGCTAGACTAGAAAAAAAGTAGACTGGGGTCCAAACATCCAGCACAGCTTGGAATTGAAGGCACAATGACTCTGGGCAATCGGAGCCAGTAGCATTGTCTTTTTGGAGCAACTTCATGGTGTCAAGTAGGGATGGGGGGAAATAATCGCTACAGCATAGTATCGCAATATTTTCCGTGGCAATACTAAATCGATACACGGACGATCTTTTATTATAGAAATTGTACATTAGAATTTTACTTTTTGGTACTGTAATAATAAAATCAATTGCTTTTTCGGTCAACTAGAAAAAGACTTTTCCTTTGGGAACACAATCTGAAAAAAAAAAAAAAAAGTAATACATTTTAATACATTGCAATATGTTTTAAATTGCAATAATATCATATTGTGACATAAGTACCGTGATAATATCGTATCGTGGGGCCTCTGGTGATAACCCACCCCTATTGACAAGCTGCCAACTAGCTGCACTTTTAAACCTATATACTGGAGCTGCACTAGATGGAAGCATGACACCATTGAAAGGTAAAATGTAGGTATAATAGGTAAAATGTTACATTCACCTTGTTGGACTTGCACTTGCTAGTGTTAGTGTTTTCCTAGTATCTAACTTCACATTTCAAATTGTACTATGGCCAAAAAAAGTCAAACTCAAATTGGATCATAAACAATATGGTTCACGCACCAGCGCTTGGATCACTAAGAAGTTAAACATAAGAGTTGCAGTTCTGAGGTTTTCACACTGCCAGCAGGCAGCAGCACTTTCATAAAGTGACTTCATTTTTATGTGATAAAGAAATAAAACAAACTTGATGGAAGATGAGTAAATGTGATTTAAAATAATGCTGATCTGAGGTAGAGTGACAAACGGGGAACACTTGTGAAATTAAGAACAAAAACTATTTTACTCTTTTCATAGACGTGAACATAGCCACCATGACCTCGCCCACTGGTTTGTGTTTCGAAGCCTCGAGTTTGACATTTTGGCCATTGCCATCTTGTTTTTTTGGAGCCAGAAGTGACCATTTTGGATGACAGGGTAAAGCTGGGGAGGAGCAAGGGTTTCTACCTAATGGTGTTTTCAGATTACCAGGTGACACAAAGCGACCACATCCTTAATTATGCATATATTAAAGCTTTAATATAATCTAAACGGGTGAATTATATAGAAGTCCACCTCATTCTTCAGCCCTGGAGGTTCAGTTTGGTTATTTTACTCAACTTCAGTATCATTCAGGATTCTTTTGTTTCTCATAATCTTCTGAAATATATACAAGAAATATATTTTTAAGCCTGTTACCAATGCATTGCTTAAAACCTTTCCCTCTTTTTTGTTCTGGATGTAATGTAAAGATATACAATTTGAGAGGAAACTTGACCATTAAAATGACTAACTTAAGTTAAATTTGATATTGTGGCATGTTAGATTTCCGCTGGCTGACTCATCTCTCAGCTTGTCACTTTACATACCTTGTTAACATTGATAGCTCATTGCAGGTAAGATACTGTACACTTAAAAAGAATAAAAATCCCTTAACCCTGCCAAAAAGAAAAGAAACTAACAAAAATGTTTTCTCCTTTAACAAAGAGTATAAATCAACACTGATGTTTTGGCTGCTGTAAATACATGTTTCTCTTGTACAATAACCAATAAGAAATAACACACAGCATTAAAATACGGCTTCAAAATGATACAGCTGAACGTAAAAACACTTTTTCTTGTTTATCACAAAAACAATCAACAAGTTCAAGCTTAAAGATACATCCGTCCATTAAAACCTCAAAAATACTTCTCTTTCCCTTCAGGGGGTTTTATGTGGGCGTATCCTAAAACTGGGCACACCCATACCATAAAAAAAGCAGTTGGTCCCTCCTTTTGTCAATCAAACGATGGTTTCCATTTAAACGCTGTCCCTGTTGCCCACTCCGTCAGTCAAATAATCGTCTTTGCCCTTTTAAATCGAACAATGACATCATATTTGCAGCTCTTTGCTTCCACCCTCTTGTGAAAGAAACATCCTCATTGGTCGCTCACAGGACTTTACTGCCTCCGCTCACGGCGAAGAAACATTGATGAGGAAACAATGCTTTTGGAACTTCTTGCTGACAATCGCAATCTTCTGACAATAAAAGTACACTTAGTCCTGCCCTGCAGCAAAAAAAATGTCAATCAATCAAACCACGAAGTTAGCTCCACCCTTTGTGGTCTTTCCACCGGTCCATCAAACGATACTGTCCTGCAGCAATGGTTCAAAGTCCTCATCGCTGGTGGTGGGAGGGGTCTCCTCGTCACTGCCCGGGAGGGGCGTGTTGATGTGGACGCCAGCTAGCGAGGACATCGACTCTTTGCTGTCTGACTGGGGCTTGTCACTGAGGGACAGCTGGGAGGAAGAGGAGCAGGAGGGTTTCTCAGGGATGAAGAGGGCGACGAGGAAGGCGACCACCACGGTACATGCCCCCAACAGGAAAGGCGGGCCGGGGATAAGGGCTCGCTGAGAGAGAGAGAGAGAGGGAGATTTACAGTTTTACTTTCAGTTTCTTGTCTTTCATCAGGATATTGCTATTGTTTTATAAACTTTAATTTATAGAGCAGATTTAAAATGTACAGACATGAGCACAAACTATATTTTCTACACATCTGCAAGCGACGTCTACATGCAGAGACCCTGGGGGTCATACATGCTGACAGAACGTGTGATCATGTCTGTGTATTAGGTTCAACTGAAATTGCATTTAGTCATTCTATTTTACAGTGAAAACTTATTATTGTTAATAGTATTTTCTTAATAAAGGATGAACATTTTTTCCTCAGCGGTTGGAGGGATGTGTGGGTGTCTGTGTTTGATTGACAGCAGCTTGCAGGTTGCCAGAATGAGAGACAAAGTAAACAAACATTCGCTGTAGCCAATATGTCATGGGCAGACAGAAGTATAGAAGAGTAAGGACCACACCGGCATCTAACCAGAACCAAAATTAAATTTGCAGGTATACATTTAGATGCCGTTTAATGTGTTGCGGCTGAGGAGCTATTTAGCCTGCAAACGGACATTAGCTTTGCACTTTTCTCTGGTGGATGTTTGGTTGCTCATTCACAGGCAAAAGGTACAACACACAAGACATGTGTCCTTGTCTGTGTTGTGTAACAGGTTGACTAGAGTCAGTGAGATGGTGCCTATGATAGAACGCTTATGTTACTGCTTGGTACAAATATGGCTTAAAAGGAAACAAGATCTCCATCTATAGCTTCACGACATGTGATTTACAGAACAGATATGTGTTATGTAGCAGAGAAAAAAAAACATGCAATTTAATTTCAGTTGGACTTTAAAAGCATTTTACCAGAAAATCCCCATGTTCGTGTTTAGAAATGCCAGCGTACGGAGGAGGTCAAAGACATGTGTTCACAATGCAAAATCTGAAATCTAGTGGTTTCACCAACTTCTCGACAAGTCAAGTAGTGGTGGGCAGTGGACTTTTCATAGTTAATGTAACTTT